ATGAAGCAGTGCCCACTTGCTGCGAAGCTGTGGAATCTTGCGACAAAGCAGTGCCCACTTGCTACGAAGCAGTGCCCTCTTGCGGCGAAGCTGTGGAATCTTGCGACGAAGCAGTGCCCTCTTGCTACAAAGCAGTGCCCACTTGCTACGAAGCAGTGCCCTCTTGCGACGAAGCAGTGCCCACTTGCGGCGAAGCTGTGAAATCTTGCGACGAAGCAGTGCCCTCTTGCGACAAAGCAGTGGCATCTTGCGACGAAGCAGTGCCCTCTTGCGACGAAGCAGTGCCCTCTTGCGACAAAGCAGTGCCCACTTGCTACGAAGCAGTGCCCATTTGCTACGAAGCAGTGCCCACTTGCTACGAAGCAGTGCCCACTTGCTACGAAGCAATGCCTACTTGCGACGAAGCTGTGGAATCTTGCGACGAAGCAGTGCCCTCTTGCGACAAAGCAGTGGCATCTTGCGACGAAGCAGTGCCCTCTTGCGACGAAGCAGTGCCCTCTTGCGACAAAGCAGTGCCCACTTGCCACGAAGCAGTGCCCACTTGCTACGAAGCAGTGCCCACTTGCGGCGAAGCTGTGGAATCATGCGACGAAGCAGTGCCCTCTTGCGACAAAGCAGTGGCATCTTGCGACGAAGTAGTGCCCTCTTGCGACAAAGCAGTGCCCTCTTGCGACAAAGCAGTGCCCTCTTGCGACAAAGCAGTGGCATCTTGCGACGAAGCAGTGCCCTCTTGCGACAAAGCAGTGCCCACTTGCTACGAAGCAGTGCTCACTTGCTACGAAGCAGTGCCCTCTTGCGACGAAGCAGTGCCCTCTTGCGACAAAGCAGTGCCCTCTTGCGACGAAGCAGTGCCCTCTTGCGACGAAGCAGTGCCATCTCATTAGTTAGTTACATCTCTTGTTCGATAGCTTTAATATTGCACTGGTTGCATTATCATATCTGTAACTGTGCTTGAAATATTACAGTTATGAATATTAATGAGGTCACATGACATATGTCAATATCTGATATCTAGCACAATGCATTCATTGGAGCACTGCTGACATGTTCGTGTTATAACCTTAAAAAAGTGAGTAATTGCTCTGGTCAGACGTCATAATTACTAAGTTGATTGCATGTTCCGATTTGAAACAGTAATTAAGATATGACAATTTTGTATATTTAACAAGGCCATATGACCATACATTTGCATCCTGTATTTTAGTCACACATATTGTCCAATGGCTTCAATATTGCACTTCTTGCATGTCTCTGTCTGCAACAGTAAAGTATACAAGTATACAATTTATACGTACTGCTTTACATTGTATTCCTAAATACATACATGTCTTTACAATGTTTATTTATTACATCTAATTCTTCATTTTCATAACAACAGTTTTTACTTGTGGTTTAATAATTTACCAGTTTTATTAAAGATCATAACTTTTGTTTCAGATGTGTTTATTTCATAATTCCACATACTGTAGTACGTTGCCAACTCAATGAAACAGTTCTGTAAACCATCCTTTGTTTCTGACACAAAGACAAGGTCATCGGCATATACTAGTAACAAGCTACTAAGTGGTTAGTTGTCTATTTTCGCTGGCTTACATGACTCACCTATTTGATGTGGTAGATCATTTATAAATACACTAAAGAGAATTGGGCTGATGTTATACCCTTATCTTATACTTCGAAGTGATTTTAAATCCTAGGTTTAATTAGATACTGTACATTGCATCTTTATATATACTTTTAATTACATGATTAATATTTCTTGTAATATTATTCTTTACTAATTTATAATACATTCCTTTTCGCCATAGGCTAATAAATGTTGTTGTTTTTTGAAATATATTAATCCAACAAATACTTGTTTAGTTTGTCTCTATTATTTGTTATAGTTTTGTAGTTGATATATTTAATGGTGTATAACAATGCGTATTTCGTTTTCGTATTCGTTGATGATGATATTTGGCGAAATGTTTATTATGTTCTGTTACATGTAACCACGGTCTAGATAGAACGCGTACGTCTGCGGTATAACGCACTTTAAAGCGCTAGTCTTCATTGAGTTCAAAATGGGTCCCACACGACGTATACATCGCGTGTGAAATACATTGTTTGTTTACATGAAAATCGAAGGTGCGCTGCACGACGACCGTGTTACATTAAAGCGCGGTGGTCCAGGGTCGTCGCACAGCGCGTGTTCGAATTCCATGTAAATAAACAATGTTTTTCACACGCGTTGTATACGTCGCTATGAGTCCCATCAGAGGTACATTACTTGGGGTTTGCAACTCGCATAGTACTGTATGGTGACATCATGTCAAGATCCCATTCAAGTCTCTTCTCGTAGATAGCGAGACTGAGGCTACGACCTTCTGACATGACATATATCAATGGTCAAGGTTTGTAATGAAAAAATAAAACTTTTCTTGCCACTATCATAGTGAACAATGTAATACATTGAAAATGTACAGAAAATATAGTTCTCGTAATCCGTCATATTGTGGGCAGCTATTTTGACCCACCTGGTCATCCCAGTATCCTAGTTACCTCGGGCATGCGCATTCGCATTTTTCTGAGTTGGAACGGCTTATGCGAGAGCGAGATTGTAACGGGATCTTGATATCATGTAACCGTAGTTGCAAACCCCAAGTAATGTACCTCTGGTCCCATATAGAACAGGACGCTGCGCGAGGACTGTCGCCATTTCATTTACTTTGAGTGTTGCTAAATGTATTGCAATACAAATCACTGGATTCGATTATTGAAGACAGTTTACTTGTTTACATAAATCTACACGTTTTACGTATTCTGCGTTCCATAAGCGTCCTCGGTGCCTGATTTTAGAACATAGTAATCTATATATCCAACTCTATAATAATCATTATTGCGACACAAGTCGTAACTGTCTTGTTGACACATGTTAATAATAACAAAAGAGCATGCATCGACGTATACAGGATTGCCACTTGCATCCCAAGTACACTTAAGTTTGTGTTAATTCAAACTAAAACATTCAATGCGTTCCTACAAATTTGATGTCTACCGCGAATCTCGGTGTTTTGTTATTGTACATCTTGATGTTTGATGGTTTGTTTCCTGTACTCCGATTTTGAGCCTGTTTATGTAGGATTCAAACCAATTTGAATCAAAATAAAATCAGCGGGGCTTCACAGCGATCATTTGTTTACATTTATACGGTATTGAAGACCTCTGGGGTCTAAATACGCGTCATTTAAGTAAGGTCTTAGTTTGATTAACTGAAATGTTGTCAAGTATGTAAATACAGTCTCATAGATAGTTACAGTAGGCTACTGAATGAACAAGTATATAACTTTCAAGGGAAGAAACCACACACGCACCCACTTTACGCAATCATTAAAACATTAGAATATGACATATACCAACCTGTATCCCGTTCTTTCTAGTAATAATTTCACTGATAGTCGAACGTCGGTAGTTGCTACATGACCAACCCTGTTGACGTCTGCAGGCACACTTAGATTTAGGGCGAGGTCGCTTGAATGAGAATACCTCTCATTTGTCTAAACACAATTGAACATCGCCATTGGACACTTTGGAACTGACAGGCACTAAGTTGAATGACAGCCATTATACTCGTCCTTTTCCTCCATTTCATTGTATGTCAATCCCTCAACAGAACTTGGCATGACCCAGACGCGCCGCAATGTGTAGGGCATTACGTGTTAAGTACATGGCATTGGTGCGGTCACTTTAACCTCCATGATTGATTTACTGTATATTGCTTATTATTATTTGTTATTATTATTATCACCAGTTTTTTAATTGAATTTTTTTAAACCATTGTTGTGCTTTAGAGGATAGAATTTTTTGTAAAATTTATATGTTTTTAAATATGTGTTCTAGTAGTTAGTGTAACCATTTAAAATTCTTCCAGGGGCGGATACAGGATTTTTGTTATGGGGGGGTGGTCCAAACTTTAAAATATCGAGACAAAGTTAATGATTTATTTATATTATACAAAAACAAATTGAATACATTTTGCAACAGGGAGGGGGGGGGGGGTCTGGACCCCAAGAACCCCACCTCTAGACCCGCACTGCATCATATTCTGAAGAATTTTGAGTGTTTCAATAAACATAATGATGTGGTTCTACACGAAAGTTTTATCTTCGAGACATCCACCGATGTTCAGGCACGCCCCCTAACGCCCGGGAAAGCGTTCCTTTCCGAAACTTTAATGGTCCAAATGCGAAAATAGATACCCCTTCAACAATTTTGCGTGAAATGTGTATCCTTTACAAGACATTTCTTTGGTAAATTGTTTCATATAATAGGAAATAGGTATTTTATCTATATGTAGAAAAGCGCTTCAGTTGATTTCCGAACTTTAATTTCGTCGCCCGAATTGTTTTGTGTCGAAATGCACGAGCCCCGGGCAAATTTTCCGAATTAGACTGACAGCAGTACACACGATGTATAGAATTTAGTTCATCATTCCAGCCGTGCACCCTATTTTATTATTCACTTAGTTCAATAGTTGGCACTTTTTTCTATGTAATGGAAGGTCACATGCTTTTGTCATGCGCAACTGCATTCAATTTTAGTGTACACTATAACAAAAAGTCGTATCCGTTCTACATTTGGCAGTCTAATTAGGTCTAACAACAAGAGCCACGAAATAGTTCCAATAAATCAACCCATGGATTCTAGCTCCATGGATCAACACAATATAGCTCATTTTATCAACTGACCGATACTATTGTCTTTACCACAATTCGTCACGGTTCCAGTCGTAGCATTGTTGTTTGATGCTAACGGCCGTCTTGATTTTGTTTGACTACCTCGGCTGATCATGACACTAGTTTGACTTTAAACTACTGTAAAACATGTCTTTTAGCTAGTATGTTATTTTAGTTAATTTGTAATTTCAATTATTCAAGATGTCGGTAATTTAGAATACAATAATTACTCTATATGTTCTCACAGTGGAATTGTCGACACTAAATTAAGATTGTTACATATCTAAATTTACATTTACACAGCTCAGACACTGATTAATCTGCAAACATAAGAGTAGAGTTTGAGAAAATCCATACCATACATGCAGAGTATGGAGCAAGTGGCCATCACATGCACACTCTACTAGGACTAGTAGTGACTGTGTCGCATGTGACAAACCCCGGATCTCGCAACAGCGCCACCAACGCAAATTTGAGCAAGATCGTTCGTTCTCTTTCCAAAAACCCAACAATGAATGCAATATTAGCTACTTCCAGGCACTTTCATCATAATTTTGGGACAATTTGCATGCTTGCATAATTAATGCACTCTTGTTTAGTGATGTATTAATATTAACACGTGATGATGTTGTGAAAATAAACTATAAGAAACAACAAAGCAGCTAAGTATGTTTCAAGTAAAATGCCATTGTCAGTTATAAAGTACCAGTCAAGCACAAGTGGATCAAGGTCAATCAAAAGTCACATCATTAATGAATGAATGTAAGCCAGTGGCTTTGACTTCCCATTGAGAATATGGCACAATCACCTAGTTGCTGTTCAACCTAGATAGGAACTGAACTTATGAACAAATGCAGAGCAACCAGCTATTACACATAGCACCAGTTAATACCATGTCAAATTATGGTTAAAACATGTTTCTCATAAAACATCTATGTACTGATTGTGTTAACAGCTGCATATTTGCTAGAAGCATGCACACATGTAGACTACATCTCTAATTCTGTGCTGATACTGGAGCTAAAATTGGGAAAAGGTAAACTGCATACATGAAAATAACAGTATGTTTTTATTATATTAAAAAAACCAACATTACAAACTCCAATAGTTAAATTACAATGTTGAATGTATTAAAATACATGTAATATTTTTTTTTTCTCAACAAATCAGAAAAATGTAAACAAGCTGTTATACCCCGGTATGTTGTTGTGAAGAAAAAACATTTTTATAAAAATGTGGGCTAGACTTGCATACAGTCTCCTGCCAGTGTTTATTTTTTTTTTCAATAAAATAATATAAGGTACTCGGTAGTGTATAAATGTCGAAAGCCGGGTTATCGCAAAAAATAAATAAACTTGTTTATTTCCTGGTAACTCGAACTGTACGGTAACACGGCTTTCACCATTTACAGATGAGACTGTATGCAAGTCTACTTGAGGACCTGGTTATGCAAGTTGCACCCTCTTCAGTGGCCTATGTGAGTGAAATCAAAACAACATAACAAATTTGAAACTGATAATTTGACGTATCAAAATATTTATCTCACATTGCTTTGAACTCAAAGTAATATATTTTTGCTGAAAGGATTAATCAGTGAAAATAAAATTCATAAAAACCAGTCTTTTTAGTGAAAATTAATTCCAGGTAAATTTGAAATTTTGTTCTAAAAGCAAGATGAGTGATAAGGGCTTTTGGCAACTAGTGAATTTTTTGATCCCAATACAATTTCACATTTAATTTGTTTGTGGAAGTCCACCAAAATATACTGTTATTATAATGTACTAAATATAATAATTAAACTGTAATAATCCTTCAATTAAATAATTGAAATTTTAAAAAAATTGTATAAATAGAAAGTTTAAAAATTCATCATCATAAAAATATTTGTAATATTTTAACATCAACGAGAAATTCTAAAAGTAGTCAATAAATAACAAGTTAAAAATGGTATTAGAACCTTCTATAATTAAGCATCTGTATAAAATTATTTTGTATACAATGTGTGTATATTAAAAATGTAATGTTATCCGGAGTTGGTATTAGAAGTTGGTAACTCAAGAAGAACATAACGCTTTAAATGCCATAAGTTGCTTGTGCAACTTTTTCTGTAATTTTGTTTTAAACCCAGTGGACATAATTTTCTATTGCAAACTATTCTGGAATACCGGTAATTTGAAAAACAACAAAAAAATGGAAAACGTTAAACATTCTTTTTGCATTCATAAGGGTTAAAATTGATGGTTTTAATCTGTCATTTTCATAACTTGAACAATTTTTTTTTTTCGTGTCGAGTGAAACTTATCTTAACCTTTTTGTTGGCATATCACAAGGATTTAAAATAACTGTGGGAGACAAGCAAAAATTCAATATTTTTCAAATAATTTCAAATGGCTGTGAATCATCATCATTATCATCTTCAAAAATTGGCGTATTTTTCAGATTTAAATTTACTGGCTCTATAACCTCACTATGAAGTGGTAAATCAAAATCAAGATCAAAATCTTGACTATCTTCTTTTGTCTGTTCCTCAACTGGCTCTCTTTTATCAGTGTCCAAGATCAATTTTGGCTTCTTTTCCTTTGGTTCAGCTACAAAATCTTTGCCTGTCACGGTTTCTTTTCTTTTTATTGAAAACTTTGGCTTAGATTTCTTAGTATGTCCATTTTTAGATGTCCCATTTACAGCAAGCTTTCCAGTATTAGATGAGATTTCATTCATTTCTTTCGCTTTATTTTTCTTGACTTTTTCTTTGGCCACATCACATTTTTCTTCAGGCTGTGTGTCCAAATCCATTGTGTAAACATCACTGTCAAACACTTTTATCTCATTAGTTTTAGTTGGGTTGACTTCTTCAGAAGTTGTTGGGTCATTACGACAAGGCAATGGGACTTTCATTTCAGATTTATTTATTTTTCCAGGAGCTTTGAAACCAAGCTTACTTTTCTTTGGCATTTTAAATTCGGCTTCCTTTTTATTAATAACAACATTGGTATTTTGGTATTTTAAACCATCTTTCTTAGATTTCTCAATATTTTGTTTGTTCTTAGATGGATTTTCTTTTGCTACAGTCTTTCCAACAGGTTTTGTATGCTTTACATCTTTGGATTTATTCTTATTAATCTTTTCATGGTCAATTTGTCTCTTATCAGTAATTTCTGATTTATCTGCCGATGATTTCTTTTTTCTGTCTTTTTTTGCTTTCTTCTCTGAAACATCAGTAGCGTCATCATCATTTTTCTCATCCTTGCTTTTCTTTTTTTTCTTTAAATTTTTCTTTGGTTCCATCATTTCACCCTCCAGCTTTCTTTTCACAGCTTTTGTTCCTCCTTCATTTTGACTAACTTCTTTCTTTTGTTTAGTCTGTTTCTTATGTTTCTTTTCCTTGGGCACAACAAAGTCATCATCATCATCTAGTGGGGAAAAGATATCATGTATGTCAATACCTAATACCTAATACCTGTAATATCCAAACAATTAAAACCATACAAATCATTACTCACCATTTAAACTATCTTCAATGCTCTCTATCATAGATTCTGCTTCATCTAGAACACTTTCTGCAGTCCTAAGAATTGTGTCAACTTCTGGTGTCTTACTGGATATTCCATTACTCACACTTAGCTGAGAGGATACTTGAGAATCTGAAATAAAATATAAGATGTCATTAATTCACTTGTCCACACTATTTTAGAACATTGTTCCTAGTCCAACAAACATGTGGTTTATTCTAAATACATTTTACACAGCATTTTTGACATGCCAAAAGATATAATCAGACTGCCAGCATTTTTTCACATTATTTTAGCCAAGGTATACATAGACAGCCCATTTTCAATCTGAATATTTACACTGGCTGGCAAAAGCAAAATATATATAGTAGATGTATATAGTTCTTAAATTAGCTGTTGCTAGGCTTGGTGTATGGATGAGTGTGGAACTCTTTGGTAAATGGTGTTTCTACTCATTTGTGATATCTGCTCCAATCAACTAGCAGATTTAAAATTTCAACTGACTTTTTGGAAGGACAAAAGAATAATTCCAAAAATACACATGTGAGATTGCCAAAATGAATCCACAATTCGTAGTTATTGGATCGTATGTAATAATAATAATTTATTACGCAACTGTAATCTGCTGTGGATACAGTCAGGTAAAAATAGTGTAAAATAAAGCAACTAAAAATAACTACAATCAAAATTAAACTGTTTATTTATTTATTAACACACAACATCCCCCGGAGGGGATGAAAAGGGTTACAAATCAGATATTTGTAAAAGAAAAATAACTACATAAAAAGTAAAGGAACAAAAAAGCATTAAAAAAAAGATAAATTTGTATACAAGGAATGTGTTACTGGCTTAGTTTATGTAAGTGCTGCTGTCTTGTATTAAAACACTTTTATAAATATTGCGCTAAAGGAATTGACATTTTCTCGTTACTTAGTAATGATATGATTTTTTTTTCATTACTAAATTTGTCAAAATAGCTCCCGTGTGATCAGAGCATGTACCGGGGGTATTATAAAGGTATAGGCTTTGCCTAATAAGTGAATGTAATTGCATGTAGGTCAATCCATCAATAAAATTGATCAAGATGTCAAACAAGAATAAACACAAAGTAAAATAGGAATCAACTGCTTCGTTTTATTTGAGTAAGATGGAAACCATGCGAAAACAAATGTGAAACATTACTGTCTGCTTGAGGAGAAGACACTGGGAGTCGTGTGCAAAGAGATTGTTTACAAATTAGATCACATTGGAAGTGCTTTCAGTCACGTTGTGTCGCTCCAATGCGTAAAATAGAAAATATATATCTTGAATAAAACTGACAAACTTCCTTGCTGTTGCTGTCGGGTGTCTGCCTTATACATGGATTAAGTGTAGACGCAGGGATTCAGCTTTCCTTTTCTCTGCTCGTGGCGTCGCAA